AAGTTGTTTCTGAGTCAGAAAAATATAATTGATCGTGTTGTGGGTAATTTTTATCTATTGATTCTTTTAGTTTGTAGAGTTCGTCTAAACTGTTGGTTTCTGATTCTGAAAATGCGTTTCGATTTTTTGAAAATCTTTTTCGTGTTATTTGTCTTTGTTTAGTGATTATTTTTCTCTTTAGTGTTTGTCGTTTTGTTCGAATGTATCCAACTGTTTGTGTATGAGGTGTGATTACAAGGTCGTATTTTTTGTTATCTATTTCACAATTGTGTAAAACGATTGTTTGTTTATTCCCTAGGTTTTTAAATGACATAAGGTTTAGGATGACGGGTGCAAAAGGTTGTTAAATGATTTCTATTTTCCTAAACTGTTAGTTCTTACGATTTTTTGGTTAGCTTAACCTGGGTCTATTTGTTTAGGGTTGGAGAGAAAAGTATATCGATTCCGAAGAATGATTTTTACTTTCTCGTGACTAGTATAAGCTAAGGTGTTAACTTACTTAATCTTACTTAGGGGTAGTGATTGTGTTCAAGGGTTGGAGAATAGTAAATCGATCCACAAGGTTCAGGTATAATTAGAACGCGAGTAGTTCGTTAGATACTATTTTAAACTTACTAAGTCTAAGATTTATCCTGGGTCTGGTAAGAGGGGGGATCAAGTGAAGGATGAATAACCGAAGTTCTTCACTGTTTATCCTAATTTGAATGATTAGTTTTGTTTAAAAATTTCTATTAGTCTTGGGTCTTTAGAAAGGGTTGGGTAGTGAATCGACGTTTGAGGTCGTTAGACACTAATTAAGTGGGTGGGGGAGAACAAAGTTGTTCTGTTTGATCCAAGGATAAGCCTTGATGATCAAATTTAAAATGTAATGAAGTAGAAAATGATTTAAGATCCAAGGATAAGCCTTGATGATCTGGTTTTAAAATTAAGTGACTTTAAGTTTTAATGAGGTTTTAAATTTGTGTAAAGGAAAGATTTAGTATTTTATGATATTAGTGAGTTGATGATTGCTGTTATGTTTTAGGTGATGAAGCTGGAACAACAGGATGATTTATGATTACTAACCATTTATTGTCATGCTACTAATTTTTATTTTTTTTTTCCAATAAATATTTTTCAAACATGTTTTGTATAATACTGCAGAATTTTAGGAAAACGATCTTAGATCTTTTTATCAATCGTTATTGTATAATATTAATTTTGTTTAGCGCCTGAAATGATTTTGAAGATTTACTTCAAGGTTTTATGTTTGCAAATGGAAATCTAAATTCATTGCAAGTAGTATTCGAAATATAAAAGTTTGTTCTGGCTTTTGCCGAACTATCATGTAACTATACGGCAAGTTTCTACTTTGTCGTATGTCGTCTTTGGTTCGATGTCTTCTTCCAATTCCGGGTAGTTCTATTATGGTTCGGAATATTGGCTCGGATCTATTGAGTCGGAGAGACATTTCAATTAAATTATTGTCGTATAACATTTTGTAAATGTTTTTGTCTAATTTCTAATCTAATTTTGGTTAATTCTAATCTAATAAGGTCTTGTTCGAGACTTATGGTCGCACCAGATGAGTTAGGACTGGAGTGTAACTCATAGAGTAATTTCGGATAGGGTACACCGTCTGCTCGTCACGCTATCTTATTTTCGGCCGGATAGATTCGTGCAACTTCTTAGTCTAATACCGATCCTAATCTTACTCTTATACTATCTAGTCTCAGGTTGTTTAACTAGTCTCTGCTAGGCTCAATAGATCTAGGGTATACTGGTTTATTGCGGCTGCTGAAGTGCTCGGGAGAGTCCAACTAATTTCTAAGTTAAATTCAAATCTCTCTGGTGCTGAAATTACAAGTAACTTCAGCACTTACAAATAAGTGGGTTGTTAGTTAGATGGATCATGATTGGTTAATATTAAATACTTTACATTGGTAAAACATTTAATTTATCCAATCATAAAATATAGTTTAGATCAGGTTCCACCTCCCTCATTTCTCTTTTTACAGATCTTCCAAAAGAATATCACAAACGGCAAGAAAAGAAAAACATGTGAAAGTTATGCTATCGGTTTACCGATTCAACCGACTAGAGTTCCTTTTAAAATATTTTAAAATAAGTTAGGAGTGACATCTTTGCTTTCGTTTAAAATAATCTGGAAAGCAAAAATTTCAAACATTTTTTTCGACACTGACAAAGACCTGAGTGTTTTAATTGCAGTTGGAACCACGGATGACGAAATTCGTGCAAATGTGTTATACTTGCTGTGATATACTTTTGTCAGTAAAAGAACAACTAGGTTTGGAGTTATTTTTGATTGACTAAACAAAGCCAAAACTGACCGTTTCTAGTGTAAATTTTTGGGCCCGAGATCTGTTTAAACTTTAAGCAAGATTGGTCATCATCAATTTATTTCTAAAATCAACCCAATATGAGAAAAACGCGCTTTAAATATAAAGTCTTATTTTATTTGACCGGATAATTTGACGGCCTTAGTGCAATTTGTAGTTGAATGTGGTTGAACTTTTAAATGAAAGTTAATTAGCCAAGAGATTGGTTAAAAAGATTCAACCATATTAATTTCAATTCAAGAGATTTAGGTCTAACGATTTTGGACCCTTTAGTGCATAAGACCCGAACTTACATCGCATCTACTTTCAATGAGTTTTCATGGTAGTTACATACTTATCGCCTTACAAAAACAAGTTAGAGAACTTATTATTTACTCTAAACAAAATCTACCTGAAATTATTGCACACTTGTTTTGCGCTACAAAAAGATTTGAATCTACCCGCACACTATTGGCCGTACAAAAATTTTTAATTCTTCACCGCTATATACGCTTGCAGTATAAATCAAATAAAATCAGAGGTTTTGTTCCTGTTTGCAACGTGGCTAAAAAAAACTGAATCAGTTGATGATTTAGTTTTGTACGAAAATCATGTCTTATTCTGCTTTTTTTTTGCAAAGGTGACTTCGATGACCGGAACGAAAAATGTCCAGGGTTTCCTTCGTGCCAAAACATGTCATTTTGTACCCTGAAAATTTTCTAAAGTTTGCCGTTGTACCGTTTTTCTGCTGATATTTTGTCAGCCTAGTTACCAGAGCATGGTCGGTTAAAGTGATTCAAAAAACTTTCATCATAATTGTAGCTCTTTCTGATGTAATCCTGTAATTAACGCAGATAACTGAAGCTCAAAGCAATTCTGAAATTATGAATTGAATAATTTTACCATGGTTAATTCTCGAACATTTTTTAAATAATTTTTGAAGCAATTAAAAGTTAACTGTTTTTTTTGCATTCATAGTTTATTGCATTCAATGAATTTCTATTCCGCAACCGGTTCATAAAAGAACGTTTGACAAATTCAAACCAGGTGAATAAAACATTAACGAAAATGTATAAATTTGAGTTTGATAAAGCTCAATAAAAAATATAATTGAATCATCTATGACAAGTGTAGAAAAAAAACAATAAATCAAATTTTTTTTTGAAATTTGAAAAGAAAATTCAATATATACACTTATTTATCAACAACTCCCGGATTTTTATTTAAGTTAAAAAAATCATTTCAATTAACTAAATAGTTACTAAAACACCATCGAATTAGTTGAAGAAAAATTAATTAAAAATCCAGTTTTTACAAAAAAATTGCTGCATCAAAAGCAAAAAAAAAATCATTTTTTTTACTAAGTTTTGTATAAAATTGGAGTGAGTCTGAAAAAAACTGAGTTTTTCATTCAACGGAAAATTTTCAAATTTTCAGTTTTTTAATTTACAGCATCTAATCAACTCTCCCGCCATTTAATCAGGGGCCTTAGTAAAAATATCAATGCTGGCGTTTAATTTTCGGTTTTCTGAAGGATTTCAACAAAATTAGTTATAATAAAGCTGTCGGTTTTCTGAAGGATTTCAACAAAATTAGTTATAATAAAGCGCATCTCACTGATTAGTTGATTTACTCCATTTTCTCAAAAAGAGTTAGTTAACTACGAAAAGTAGTTATTTAACTAAAATGTGCTTTTATGATTAATATGGGGGTTAGAGAAAGAATGATTTGTGCTGAATCATGAAACGTTGTGAAGTTTTGTTCCAGTTTTTAGTCCTATTTTTATTTCCCAGTATCTGGCATATTTTTTGTATCGCATGTGATGCGAAATTCCGCTCAGCGTGGTTAATACACACGAAAAAATAATGAATGAAATCTACGGCTTAATTGAGTTTCCACAGCTGAATTTCGATTCAATACCCTCCAAATATCAACAAGACTGCTCGCATCGAGGCGAAGCCCTGAATGTTCCGACTGCCTTTTAAAGTCTATGGAGAAGAAATAATTTAAAAAAAACTGAATATAATAATTATAGAAAGAATTTTTTTTCTTAGTTTGAGATCTTTTGTGAAAATCATCCCCCACACGCCATATAAAGTACACGGTGATAATTTTGTTCCTAATAACAAATTAATTATGGTAAATGAGCGTTCTTCAACCAATTTGGAGCGACGTCTTAGACGGATTAAATCTCCGCTTACGCGTTATTAGCGCGGAATATATCGCGCGTTAATTGTTCCAAATTGGCCAAAATGACGATCTTTAAACCCTCAAAAACCCTCTACGAAAAACATCAAAGGTGAAATATATATTTTTTCAAATTTAAGCTCAGGACAATACTTTTTGAACAATAAAAAAAATCGTCAAAACTGGCTAGTTAAAAAGTCGAAATTTGTCTGAAGAAAAAAAATCACCCCGAGCATAAACATTTCGTCACTTTCATTACAAAAGTCGGAAAAAAAGCAAAATATAATCAAAATTGAGAAAATAGTCAAAAACGAGAAAGCTTAATACGTTTTGATATTTTCGAAAATATTTCTAAAAGTTTTCGAAAATTTTTTTATTTTTCTATATCAGTGAAATAGTTTTGTCAAGATTTTTCAACACTATAAAAAACATGTTTTTGCCAAAAGCATTCAGCATTACAGTAATTTTTTGTTTAGCACTTTCCATTGTTTTCAGCCGCAAGAGGGACATCTACGGGCTCCTTCTTAGTCTGCAACTATATTTTGACTGACGTTTGGAAACTACTCATGTCAATTCTTCACGACTCGAACCACTTTCTCCGCCAATCACAGTCCGACATTTGGATCCTTCCTTTTATGGCGCCTATTTTTACCTACTTGGCACTTCCAATGCTCCTCCTGAACTCCTTGTCACAAATCAAGAACCCGATGTTCTACTTGCAGTTCCAGAAGAACCTCATGCGCTTCGCCACTCTGTTCGTCTGGCTCCTGGGATCCGGATGGTGTGCGATTCTAGTGGCATGCTATCTGGCGGATCTGGACGGGAAGAGACCATTCAGCCAGTTTATGGTCGTCATCCACTCACTTTCAGTCGCATTTTGCGTCTTCATTGTCTTCGACATGAGTGAGTTCTAGTTTTTTTCTAATTTTTAAAGATGTTCATGTTAGTTTATTCTACAACCCGAGCCTCAAACTTACTTGTTTGGGCTCATCTGGGATCTAATTAACAACCCCCCCCCCCCCCCTTATGGTTGCTACTTAAGAATCTCCACCCCTTTAAATAAATACAGTAAAAAGCACTAGAGCGTTCTATTGAGAGTTCTAATTTTGCTGCATTCTGATTGGTCGAAACTTCTCTAACTTAATATACTTAATAATCTCTCCCTACTTCATAGAACGTTTTGACCTTAGACTATTTTTGGAAAAATTGCACAAAAAATATCCGCTCTTCTGCAAAAAAAACTCCGCTCTTCGAGCTGATCGGTCAAGAAGATGTTATAAATAGTATCAACCGTGCGGCGAACGAGTCGAATACCTGACAACAGTTTGGCTTCTGTGTAAATCGACTACGGGCCTCGTGATGCCTTCAAACCATGGTGTTCCTAATGATGGAGTGACCGAATGTTGGAAAATAATTTTCAGTTATTTTCAGCCAATCAGAGTTGAGTATGTAGAAATCTCAACGAAACCGCCAAAATCTCAAAATCGAATAAATAGCCCATTAAGTTTAAAATTGACTGATAAAAAAAATAAGTTCAAGTATTGCGTGCGAAATGGAAGTCGGGTATTAGAATAGCCTAAAATCGCAATTTTAAAAATTTAATGGAAATTTTTAAAATCGGTTCAAAATTTTAAAAATTAATGAGAATGTCCCAAATTAAAAAAAAAGATATTTGTTTTAGCTTTCCATAAATGGAAGGGAAGACGAAGAGTGCACCACCAATCACAGCCCTTATGCTACCACTGTGTGACATCACGTCCTGCGACTCCCTCGTCAGCCAATCAGAGACCACTGATGCTCGTGTCTTCCATATGCACCAACTCCGCGACCAATCAGCTTTCGACAATCGAGAGCAACAGTTTTCCATTGGACCCGATTATTGGCCAAGTTGATCTGATACCCGATTTTATTCTGCTAATCACCTCATCGGTTTTGCTGACGCTGCCCATAAATTTCATGATTCTTTGCTCCCAAAATGGATACAGAATGAATCCACTAACTAATGTGACCTTGACCTTTTTGTACTTGAACCCGCTCTGCTCCATCGTCGGAGTGATTTTATACACAGCTTTGAAATTTGACACGCTCACTAACTTCGCCAATTAGAAACTTTCAAATTATTTAGAATAAAATATGCAAATTGCGACAAAATTAAAATATTTTTATGCCATTTGTTTTTTTTTTGCTTTTTGCTGCAGTATAGCTCCTATCGGAAAAGAATGACGGAAAATTGTGACTCCCCAAACGGTCAAGTTGATCTGAAATTCAAATCTAAGAACAAAGTTTTTCATTTTGTATCTGAAATTTTTTTCTGTTGGCTTTCTCTTTTCTCGGAGTGAAAACTTCAGTCAAAAAATTACAGCTAAAAGTTCAATAAAATCATAAAATCACATCAGAAGAATTTCGGTAAATGATATCTAGTACTAAAAATCCGATTACAAATCCGATTTACCTCCGATTACAAAAAGTTATCGGAGGTAAAATATCTTTTTAAATTTGAGATCAGAAAGTCGATATCTTCAAGCGGGTATAAAAAGTTTCTGTTAAAAACTATCATTTCGATCGGCGAAAACTGACTCCGAGCATAAATAAAAAACACCCCGAGCATAAATATTCCGTTTTCTTCGAAAGTCAGAACAAAAAATAAATGAAATAGAATAAAAGGAAAATTTTTTTATTGTGAAATTTTGGTTGAGAAATCATCAACCCACACGCCATATAAAGCAGAAAGTGATAGATTTTGCTCCTTGAAAAAATCAAATATAGCAAATAAGCTTCTTTCAACCAACTTGGAACGATTTTAAGACGGATAAATCTCCGCTTGCAAGTTAATAGCGCGAAATACATCGCGCGTCAACTGTACCAAATTGGCCAAAATGGCAATCTTTAGACCCCCATAACTTTAAAAAAGTGATCACAAGCAAAATATCTTTTCAAGTTTAAGCTCAAAACAACAATAAGTTTTGAATGATTCTAAAAATTTTTGTAAAAATTGGCTAGTTAAAAAAGTCGAAACTTGTCTGAAGAAAAAACAAGACTGCTCTTATGTCAGGGCAAAGCCCTGAATGTTCCGACTGTCCCATAATTCATATCGACTAGTGTTTGGGAAAAAATGTTGAAAATCTATCAATTTTGGACAATATCAAAATGTGAAACGTTGAGTCGTTTGAAATTAACACGGACCAATTATCTAGCATCAGTTCAATTTGAAAGGATTTTCTTGTGCGGGATAATTCGTCACGCATAAATAATTCGAGTTAGGCTTTCAGCAATATGAATGAAATCTTCAAAGCGCGCATACGTTAGTCCAGAATATGACCATTATTTTCAAACCCCCAGAACTTTCCAAAAAATAATCGGAGGTAAAATATCTTTTTGATTTTGAACTCAAGAAGTTGATATCTTCAATTAAGTACACAAAAATTTTGTCGAACACTATTATTTTGTTCGGCGAAAATTGATTGAACAGAAAAACCACTCTGACAATCAACACTACAATACAAACCGTCGGAAACATAACAATTCAAAAGGCGAGAAACAAAAGATAGTCCAGCAACTCTCTGTCAGAAATATGTTTCAGAATTTACCGTTCTCAGGGCAAATAGACACATTGTGATGAGTGCAGCTTGTGAAAAATCAGTTTCGATCAAAGGGGCATGTTTTAAAGCATTTAAAATTAATTAATCTTAAGGAAAATAAAAAACGTAAACAAAAAAAACAGCAGATTTTTTTATATTTGACTCTCCAGTGTCGTGCTGAAATTCTGCAGATATATGAGCTGCCTTTGTTAGTGGAAATACTGCATTCAATGTTATCCTTGACCCGGTTTTCAAATTATCCCAGACAGTTCTACTTAATGAAAAATTTATGCGGAAAAAGTTTATCTTGACAAATTTAAATGATTTTAAAAAAATTATAATTGGAAATGTGTTCTAATGAGTCTGTCCAGCACTTACTTGGAATTAGAAAAATAGTTCATGAAATTTGGGAAAAACTAGTTTTTGTTTTGGAAAAAATACTGTCTAACTGAAATTGTTCAAATGGCTCAAAACTGGAGTCGGGTACGCCTAGTGCTAATACTATTCGAGTATCAACTTAGATTTTGAACGACTGCTTTACCGGCAAACAACACTTGAAGTTGCCGAGGCTGAGAAACCCTTCTCAAAACATTTGGATGTTCTGTCAGACTGATTTTGTTTTGTTATAACTGATTGTAAAAATCAGAATCTTACCCGCACTGGAATTTCATGAATAATAATTGTTTATGTTGTCATTTTATAGTTTGTATCTATAAATTTACAAAATAATCGATTATAATCCATCCTAGTATTTTTTAGATGGAATATATAAAAATGGATTATATTTCTTCTAATTTTTCAGCCAAAATAATCCCTATAATCAGTCATAATCCATTATAATGGATTTTTTCGAGAGGTATGCCATAAAATGTACAACTTTTTTTCAAATTTATCGCTTTTCCTGTTTAGTGCAGTTGCTACGTATTAGGTTTAACAAAACTTTACATTTCAAGTTTTATATTTTTACCCCCCACCCCCCTGTTTACCCCGTTTCCTGTTTACCCGCCACCCCCTCTTTACCCCCCTTTTTTGCTGAAAGTGGGCGGGTTAAAAAAAGTGGGGGGAGGGGGGGGGGAGGTTGGAACAACTGAGTAACCTCCCTCTCCCGTCCCCGTTCAAAATGCTTATTCGAGTAGGTTTAGATTGCATTGCGAGTAGGCTGTGAGTAGGCCGTGAGAATTTGCAACAATAATGGATTATAATGACATCAATTTAGACAACAGTTTTCCACCTTAATCGATTATTATCCATGGAACTCCGGTGCGGGTAGTTAACTTTTGATCAAGTAAATCGTTTGCTTTAAAGTTTTTTAACTAACTAAAACGTATTTTCAAATAGCTAAATTCTGAGGCTTGCTACTGACGTATTCAACTAGGTTGCATTATCGTAAAAAAAAGTTGAAGAAAAAAATCCTTATGTACTCATTAGGCTCCGCTTGAAAAAAAATTCACGACCTTTGAACACTTTGGTTTTTGCAACTTTTTCTGAGAAAATTCGATGCAGTATTGATAACAGATGGCAAAAGCTGTTGTTGTTTTTTTTCTGTCTGATAATTTTGATACCAGCAATCTTGCCTTTAAAAAATAATGAGTTAATGACAGAAGTAATGGCTTTTCAAGCATAACAACTTTGAAAGTTTTCTAACAAAATACACAGAAACATAAGCTAATTTGTCTACTCATTCTCAGTGAATTTTCAGCACTGCTACTCATTAGTTCATTGGAAATTTTTATATTGTTTAATAATTATGTGGAACCCTTTGATGATTTTTAGCTTTGAAATATACCTTATTCATGCTGTTTTTGCTGACGCCTCTTGAAATATTTAAACGGTTGATTAGTTTAAGGTCTTTTCACGCTTTCTGTCTTAATTGGCAAAGTTCAATTTAAAAAAAATCAAATTTGATTGGCCTTTATTGGATACGTCGCCAATTGTTTGGACAAAAACAAACAAAACGTGCTAAATTAAGCAGCCCGCATCTAGTGTCAAGCATTAATAATCGATTATATTTTGATTTTTGAACCAGTCTTACTAAAATTGAGAAACAATCGATTCTAATCAATTAATAATCAATTATAATCTCTCTTTTTAAAATAAAATTATAATTATTTATAATCCATTATAATCGATTATAATCGATTATATATTCGTCTATTTTTCGATACAATTATAATCGCTTATAATTGATTATAATCCTTTTGTTCGTCCATTTTATCTTCGAAGTTGCATCTAAATTTCTTATATTTTTTGCTTTTTCTAGACGTTGGTTCCTATGAAAAATGAGAAAAAATGTTTCTAATGTTTTCCCATCAATTCAAATTTTTAAGTTTTTTTCATATCTTTCCCATTAAAGTTGTTTTCTGATGCAAATTTTAAGCTTTATTAACCACGAAAACATCAGCAAATTAATTTAGTTTCATGATTGATTCGGATGATTTATTTTTCATCTACCGCGGGAACCTTTCCACTAATATGAAAGGATCTCTATGAAACTTTTGTATCGTGGTAAAACTTTGTGTTCAGATGAACCAAAGTGTTCAAGAGACCTCTCTTTCAAAGATTTTTTATTGACACAAAAATAATAACCCATGCGGTATAATTCGAATATAGTTTTGAATTGACAAAATTTTGGCAAAATAAGAAATTATAATCGATAATGATTTATTATAATTGATTTTAAGGGTTTTTTGTAAGAACTATAATCAATTATAATCGATTATAAGAGATTATAATCTCTTGGAAACTATCGCGATTATAATCAATTATAAATCCTTTAAACAGATAATTTTGGTAATTATAATTGATTATAATTGTCAAAAAAACATGATAGTAATCCGTTATAATCGATTACTTACGCTTAAACTCGGATGCGGGAGTGATGATTTTTTGATGATACAAAATGTTTAGAACCATTCTACACAGACATAATTGTTCTGAATTGAATCTTAATTGCTAAATTTTATTAACTTTATGAAGTTAATTTAGTGGATGGCTTTTGTTGTCTTCCAAACTTTTTCTAGTCTTTTTACTCTAACAATCTCACAACATGTAAAAACATGATTATAGTTTTCAAAACTAATAACTTATCACTTAAGATTAATTGATTGCCCTAAACCATAACTGAATGGTTTTTGAGCTTACTAAGTTCCGCTTATCATTTGTAAAAAAAAAATAAGATTCAAAATTCTTCAAATTTTGGGCAGATTTCAGTAAAAGTTCTAAGATGGCAAAGACGAACAATCAAAAACGCAACAAAAAAGAATATTTGAAGAAAAAAAAAGCTGAGACGGCAAAGTTTTTTGTGAAATATCAAAATCCTGATTGTTTTGGCTGTCCTAGATTATCTGGCATGATAAACTTTAGTTTAAACAGATAATGATCTGGAAAAAAATTTAAATACTAAGAAAAATAGCAATGAGTATTCGACTTCTTCTAAGTTCCTTTGATACAAAACGCAACTATGTTGAAAAGTAATACAAAAATTTGAGTAATTTGCAACGGTCAACATAGCTGCTCACGAAACAAGTAGGCGGAACAAAGCAAAAATTCGGTTGTTGGCAAAGTTTCAATCAATGGTTT